ACATAGTATTAAATTTTCAGAACTTTAAAGAGAAAAATAAAAGGAAAGTAAAAGTTCCCATGGATCCTCATTGCATTAGGAGAAATAAGAAGACAATAGGGCAATGTCATCAAGACCTAAGGGACAGAGCTGGGGCTGTAGCTCAGTGGTGGAATGTTTGCCTAGCATGTGAGAGGCTCTGGGTTCCATCACTAGTACTGAAAAAGAAAGACCTAAGAGGGACTTAAGTGGTAGAGTGCGTGCCTAACAAGCGTGAGGCTCTGAGTTCAATCCCTAGTGCCACTAAAGGGGGGAAAAAACCTAAGAAAAAAGAGGTTTTGAACCTGGGATTCTGAACTCAGTCAGATTATCAACCAAGTAAAAAGACAAAACAAAGTCAGCATTAAACATGTGAGAACTCAGTTTATTTCCCACTCACCAATATAAAAAGTATCTAGCAGTAGTACTCCAGCCAAACAAGCACAGTGTTGTGTATTGCAGCACTATGAGGAAACACAAGGAGAGCAACAGACACACAAGAAAGAGTGGCCGCTCAGTGTGAGCCAATGGAAAGGGGAATCCAGAGGGAAGGTGAGAGCATCATTACACCCAGTGCTCAGGACGTTCTGTCGCAGCAGCTACGATTATATTGGCTTGGGCTCCCTCTCCTCCCTCAGTCACATCACACAATTTGGTTATGCAGTTAGTTATAATATTTCCATACCCCAGTAGGCTTAATGCCGTTTAATATATTTCTATTTTATAATCCACCTCTAGTCAGAATCCAGAGGTAACTACAATTATATACTGGAATATAAATCGTCTAAATTTTAACAAAGGAGGTAGATAGCATGCAATTATTGTACTATATATACTATACAACACAGCATATAACATATATGATAATACATAATATTTTATATAGTGTTTAAATTTTTATTTATTTTTGCTGGTACTGGGATTTTAACTCAGGGCCTTGTGCTTGCTAGGCAGGTGCTCTTAGATTTGAGTCAGTCCTCCAGCCCTTAAATTTTTATTGTTGAGATAAGGTCTATTATATAGCTCAGATTGGTCTCAAAATAATGATCTTCCCGCTTTGGCCCTCCAAGTGCTGAGATGACAGGTGTGCACCACACTGGCTAAATGTTATAATATATATTATAATAGATATAATTATACTGTATTGTAGCAGTATATATTATATGTCTTATAGTATATAACATTATATTTTAATATATAATACTATATTACTTCCATGGATACTCATTGCAAGATGAGAAATAAAAATATGGTGGAACAATGTCACCAAGACCAAAGAGAAAAGGGTTCGAACCTGGAATTTTAATATATATACTAATATAGAATATATCATATTATATAACAGCTTATGTATTGTAGTGTGACATAAACCATGACATGTAATACACTATATAATCTGTGTTACATAGTAAATAGCATACTATACTAAAAATAAATAATATCAAACATAGTTTGATTAAAAAATTACCAAACTCAAGTAAATTGAAAGTGGGAGAATGGCAATTCCCTCAACTTTTATAGCACAGAGTTAGTAGATAAATAGATAAATTACAAAAGAGGAACTTAAGAGTATTTAGCACAATACATGTTGGCCACCGAATAACCCAAATCAGAAACTGCTCAATGTGGTTGAAGAAATGATGGGGGAGACTTTTATTTTACATTGTTTGCCTTCCTCTCACACATACTTTACTTCTAATTTTTAAAAATAGCTAAAGTAATTTACATAACGATTTAATAAAAAAAAAAACTATGCTGCAATTGAAAATAGTGGGGGCAGACCTAGTTATTTTGACCCAGAAAACAGTCTATCATATAACCTAAGTAGTTAAAAAGCAAATTTTTACACAAAGAAATGATAAATATTTAGGGAGAAGCAAGTACTAATTACCCTGATCTGATCATTGCACATTGTACACATGCATGGAATTCTCACACTGTACCCCATAAATATGTACAATTATTATATGTCAATTTTTAAGCAAGTTTTTAGAACAGTATTTAACTTCTTGTTTTTCAGTACTGTGGATTGAACTCAGGGCCTCTCCTCTGCTAGACAAGGGCTCTACCATTGAGCTAGACTCCATCCCCTCCCCACCAACACAATATTTAACTGTGTTCAAATAAACACTAAAAATAAGTCACAAAAATAAGCCACAGACTCCATCTTCAAGCAGCTGCCTAACCCTAGGCTTGGAGCTCCTTCTGTGTTCTCTGCCATAGGCCACATGTTCTGCTTCTGGCATCTTGTCCCCTCCTTGAGTTTTGTTAAGGCACATATTCTTTTTGTAACAGACAAGAGCTATCTTGTGTATTTTTCAAGCAGCAGCTGTGAGCCTTTTTTTTTTTTTTTTTTGAGAGAGAGGACCATGCTACGTAGCCCAGGCTTCCCTTGAACTCTCAATCCTCCTGCCTCATCCTCTAAGTGCTGGGGTTACAGGTGTGTACCACCATGCCCAACTGTAGGTACGCACTTAGCTGCAAGTATCAGTTCAAAGACTGACCAGGATAAAGCTGCCCCAGGGAAGACCAGCTTCTACACAGTTATTTGGTGAGGGGAGTTGAGTAAGTGAGAGTGAGAATCAGGGGAGTGAAGAGGTCAGGAAACAAGGCTGCTCAGAGGGCTCCTGGTCCACATCACATAGAAGGGGCCCAGAGAGGAACAGTGATAAGAAAGGATCACTCTGTTGAACTAAGTGTGCAGAAAAAGAGGCAGTGGTCTTGCAAAAAGCCAGAGTCAGACAGAGACTCAATGAGAAAAGGAGTCTAGATGAGAATCCTGATGCCAGGCCCTCAAAGAACCTTGTGTGGAGCAGGTATTGGGGAGGGGGTAGGGCTTTAAGGGGACACCTGGAGAAGTCGTACCATATCCCCCTGCTTAGTGTCCATAGTAGCCAGGAAGAAGCAGCTTTTGCATAGGCAAGAAGCACCTTGGGGCAGCTGGGATGGCCTTGGACAGGAGCTGGCCTTTTCTGAGCATTTCTCATGCACCAGACTTTGTAGGGGTCATTGTCACAGAAGCCCTATGAGGGAGCTATGATACCCCAATTACATACAGGTGACAATGGGCCAGGTGTGGTGGTTCACACCTATAATCCCAACACTTGGAAGGCTAAGGCAGGAAAATCATGAGTTTGAAACCAGCCTTGGCTACATAGCTAGACCTGTCTCAGATTTTAAAAAGGCAATGATGGTAGAAGACCCAAGTTCAGAGCTAGGGTCTGAGCCTAGGTTGGTCTGGAGTCAAAGCCTGAGCTTAGGCAGGGATCAGAGGACTCCAATAAGCATGTGCTAACTCACTAATAAGAAGAGAAGTTTCTTTCCCAAGTGGGAATAGAACACATATTGTTCCCTTCCGGAACCATGAGGAATCAGCTCCTTTGCACAGTCCATGACTATCAGGTGCCTTCACTAGCTCATGGGGACTGAGAATCACATTTGCCCAACAGGACTTGAAAATTCCCACCTGGAAGGATATTGGCAGGTAGGGCTCCCTTTCTCTATGAATGAGCACTCGCAGTGCCCCCTGAAACAGAGACTGTGCCAAGATTCAGGGAGAGAGGCCAGGACCCTGCATGAATACAGGGAGGATGAGAGAGGCTAGAGCCCAGAGTTCTTGGTTTCCACATCCGTTGCCCCATCTCTGTCTTCTAACCAGCCTCAAGGCCACATTCATAGCCCTGACTGCCCCTCAGTTCTAAGCTTGGCCCCAGCCACCTCCTGTGTCTCCCTGGGAACTTCTGCCTCTACTGAGCCTCTGGCTTCGGGGGAGGGAGTCAGGCAGGCCCAGGAGAATATGTATATCAGTTAAGGTTTGTCATTTACACGTGGAGATCATTAACGAGACTTATTTTTAAATTGTAATTGCAAAATGTAAATGCTCCCCAAACTGATGTGTAATTGCTACCCCTCCACCCCAGCCCTTCCCCTCTGGTGCCAGCTTTGCAAGGAGAGAATTAGAAAATAAAAAGGGGGTGGATTATGTAAGCAAAACGATTTTAAAAAAGAGAGCGAGAGAGCTAAGAATTTAAGTGAGACAGCTGGCAGCTTCTCTGATTGCCACACTTCCAGTATTAGCTGCAAAATTGTCCTTGCCAATTGCACCCATCCAAGCAATAGTGTCAACTGCATTTGGTCCCCAGGACAGATCACTCTGTCATTTACCAGGAAAGACAGCTAGTGGTCAATGGGTACGCCTGTATTCAGAAGTATGGGGTGGGGCAGAGGTCAGGGTAATGTTTGAATTTGCCCATGTCTCATTCACGGAACCCTTCCATTCTCTAGAAAGATGCATCCACAGTGGGAGTTAGCATTGGTCACCTCATTTCCCCATATTCTATCACGTAAGTGATGGAGGAGGCATAGGCTGGCCTGTTTGGACCCAGCAACCACGGTCTCACTCTGGAGAGAGTAGGGTTCTATCCAAAAGTCCACAGGAAGAGCCTTAGTTCCACTTCAATCTCAGAGAAAGCCACTGGACTTGGGTAACAACACACTCAGAGAGGTGTAAGCAGGTATATGAGCCTTGTCCATACTTTCTTTTTTTACTTGCCCTCCATCTTCCTCCACCACCACAGCCAGCCACTGTGTGCATTAAATTGCATGCAACATCCCTGGGCACATAGCCTCCAAATGCTGAAGATTGTCAAACTGTCCCCCATGTGGGATTTCCGAACTGACAATGAATGGCCTTCCCTCAAGAAGCTGCAGTATGCTGGAGCATGCTGACCCTCTCTTATACCCAAGAGGAAGTGGGGCAGTCATCACTGCCTGTTCTCTTTTTCTCAGACACAGGGTCCTCTATGAGCACATGTAACCTTGCTCGGGGGATCATTCACTGGTGTGGCTAACTCTCTCCTTCTTCATCTCCCTCTCTACAGGGAAACCTACTTTTGTGAAGAATTTAGCATGAATACTGCCCCCAAAAGGAAAGCTGATGAATTGTAAGGTCACAGTGTCTCTAAGACATCAGGGAAACTTACAAAATCCTTGACAAGGTCCTTTTGGAGTTGAGGCCCAATCTCACCATAACAGATCCAGCCTTAGCATGGCATACTGGAAAGAAAAAAAGGGTTCTTTTTGGATAACTGGGTTTCTAAATACCTCTTGAAAATTCTCATAGAATTCAAGTCTGTGAGATCATGAAATTACTTGAGAGAATTAAGAAAGCCAAAAAACAAAACTACCCAGATCTGATAAGAGGATTGAATGAGACTCTCTATTCAAAATGCTCAACCCAGTCTAAGGAACTATTTCTCCACAATCATCAGCAACTCTTGGGATGCAGTGCATTCACTCAGTGCGCATCAGAAGCCCTTGGGTACAGATTGGTGGGTCTGCATCCCAACTCACAGAATCAAAGTCTCTAGCCCTGGCATTGCATTCATTCATCACCAACATCCCCAGGTGATTCTCAGGTGAGAACACTTGCTCCAGAGAGTTGCACAAATGTGATCATCACCATGGATTTATTTGCATAATGTAGCTGCACCAACAACTCACAGAACTCTTGGAAGACAAGAGAGAACAGGGACAAGGCCTAATTCTCATCCCTAAACTAAGAGGTTAACATAATGATCCCCCCAAAAAACAATACAGCTTTTGCTCTCCAAGCATATCTGTGCTAAGTGTCTTCTCATTTGGTCACCTGATGCGAGAGACTTTCAGAAGAAAGGCACATCTGCCTGGGGAATTTACCTATTCATGAAAGGACAGAAAAGCATTTCTTACTGTTGGGTGACCCGTGGTCTCTGGGATGGTCTTCAGGAGCCTCACGGCCCTCTGCTCACTTCCAGCTGGGCCAGAAATGCTTCCTGTCAGGTAGAGCCAGTGCACCTGCGTGAAAGGACAGCCGCTCTTAGCAGGGGCATCAGAGAACAGGGGACTCTGGGCTCTGCTCACTGGCTCTTCTCCTCCCCAGGATATGTTCTATTCTAGAAGGAATGGATTCTATTTCCCCTACAGATGTTCCTGCCAGATTTGCCATTCAACCCTCTCTTCTCTGTGTGGTTGCTGAGTGCCCCCCACACCCTGCCAGCCATTTTGGAATCCAAAGCTTGTCACAGTCAGAAGTAGCCTATTATTGCCAGTTTGGTTTCCTGACCTCAAGGATATTGCAGCCTCCCCACCCCCTCCAAATGCACACACACACACACACACACACACACACACACACACACTCACACACTCACTCATTCACTCACTCACTCACACAGCTGTAGGATGATCCTGGGCCCTGGGAAGACCAGCTGACACCTGTTCTAGGACTCTAGGAGAAGTCAGAGGAAGGAGCAGTTCTTTCAGATATGCAGAAGAGCTTCAAGCTTTTGTTATGATAGCAGGCTTTGGCTGAGGGTGTCTGAGGGCAGCAGGGAGGGAAAAATCAGGAGGGCAATGGACCAAAGCAGGAAATACAACCTGTCACCTAATGGTGGCTTTGGCTGCATGAGTTTTTAAACTTAGTTTTAGGTTAAAGTCAATTAATTTTGTTTCTCAATGCTTGAAACAAACCAAGGTGTCTGCACAGAGGCTGGGTGATCATCCCTGTTGTAAGTCCTGGTCAGGCACTTCCCCACAGTCCCATCACTGCTAATTTGACCACAAGGAGGTTGTGCTAGGAGCCAGGATGGCAGGGTTGCAGGAGCGGGGGCTGCTCCCCATCTGGGTTGTACTTGGTGTGTGTGTTGGGGGCGGGGTACGCAGCATTGGGCAGTACCTCCAGTCAAAAGCCCCAGCCCTGCACCAGAGATAAATGCATCTTTAACATTAACAGCTCCTTCCTAGTTAACACCATCTTAGTCTCCCTGTAAAAACACATTTGCACCTCAGTAAAGAATGTAATTAACTAGTGACATGACAACAGGAGGAGCAAAGCAGTAGCCAGGCTGGGAGCTGCAATGAGGAAATGGAAATATAGACATGTGCCTGAACAAGTAAGCTTTCCTACCCTCTGTACGCACGTGGTGTATGCGCAGACTTCTGGGGAGGTGAGGGTGGCAGAGAGACAGCATTCAGGATCCTAAGGGAGGTTTGAATTCCCAGTTGCAAAAGAGAGGAAGACAGGATGTGCTAGGAGGGTGGGATGAGCCAAGAGAAGCACTAAGGGTAGACAGGTAGCTCATGCATTTCCACTAACAATCACAACCCTCACACACACCTCCATTTCCCTTCTCCACACCCCAAATTCCTCCTAAGGGGAGATGAAGGATATTGAGACAGATTTGCAGATCCCCTTGCCATTGCTTGCTCTGAGGCAGGCACATGGAGGAGCCCAAGAGATCAGGACCAATGGAAGGAGTGGGCGGTGTGAACACCAAATTACTCCTGTCTCACTTCTGCAACCTGATCCTCCTCCATGTGACATTGTCCTTGAACTCTGTGATACCTCCCAGGTCTCTGGCCACACAGGCTGCAAACATGAGAGATGCTTCTGATTCCTCCTTTCTCTAAGCCCCACCTAACTTTCACTCCCTATCACTAACCCTTCTTTTCTGTTTCTAATCAGAGCTGAAGATTGTCTTTCCTTCTTTCCATTCCTATGACACAACCTAGATAGAGCCCTCCACCCTGGCCATGCCAGTCACAGTCCCTCCTCATCCTTAAAGTCAGCCCTACTTCATCCATACACTCTGCTTCAGGGCAGGTGACTTCATCCACACTCATTGAGGACCCTGAACCTGCCAGGCATGGCCAGCACAGTGATGAACATTCGGCCCTTCATAGGCTTACATCTAGGTCACCACTTTCTTCAGGATTTCCAGTGATTCCCTGCTTATAGAGGGCAGTCACCAAAAAACCATTGCCTGCATCAAACCAAGTACAGCCTTCTAAGGGTGGCCATATTTGGTCCCTGAGTTTCTTTCTAGACTCATCTTTTACTGTGCCCAGGGGCTCTCTACCCTCCTTCCAAACACAACCACTTTCCATTCTCCATACCTGTCCACAAATTTCCCCTTTCTCTTAATGCTCCAATTCTATATTTCTATCTGACAAGATTCTGGCCATTCTTCAATATTCAACTCAAACAACCTAGTGGCTACCTCCACAGCCAGAAGTAATTTTTCCTCCTCTGTGTTTCTAGGTAACATGCTGCTTGTCATTCTCTGGAAGCTCTTGCCACCTTCCATCTCATGCTATGGTTATATTATGTTTGTTATCTCTTTCCAAACTATGGGTTCCTCATGGGCAAGAACCCTACCAATATCATACACATCTTTAGTTTACAAAGTACCTTCTTTAATTCTTAAACAGGTAGGCATTTTAATGTAATAATGTTATCACCTACAAGATGAAGAGGACCATAGTTAATATTTGGAATAAAACACTTTGTAAAAGTAGTACCATACCATGCATACTGCTCAATATTTGATAATCTATCATAAATACTTTTCATGTAAGGGAAATGTACATTATAATATTAATGGCTATAGGCATTGCATTTATGGATATACCATAGTTAGCCAAATTTTATCATGTTATTTAGATTATTCCCAGCTTTTGCTATTACAAAAAAAATAATGACCATTTTCATTAGTTGACTTTTTCCTGGAATGGCAGGGTGGGTCATTCTGGAGAACCTTGCTAAGTCAGCATCCAGGTGTCTGAGGCCGACAGGGCAGATGAGCTGCTTTGGGTATTTTTTTACTATTCCCTCCTCCCCTCCTCTGAGCAGGTGAAAACTGCTTCAATTTAGTCCCCTGTATTAAGAATCTATCATGTTCTGTGGCCTAAGCATCCAAATGAATCTCTCTCTCTCTCTCTCTCTCTCTTTCTTCCTGTCTTCAAGATGCTTACAGTTGAGTAGGAAAGATGGATGGAAAAGACACAGCTGTCTGCTGCAATCTGTGTATGATGCTGCTCTGGTTGTCTACCCCATCATCCCCTCCTTTACTCACAGTGACAGGAGCAGGGGACAGGGCAGGGACAGGGCTGGAGAAGGGAGGAAGCCCTGGCTACTTTGCATGTCCTTCAACCTCGGTCTTTCATCATGCCATAGGGCACCAGAACTCCCTTCAACTTTTACAGATTTCTACCTTTCTGCTCCAGCTGCACCTCCATCTGCCCCCAACCCTGAGGCAGCACGAAGGAGCTGGGACTCCTCAGAGAGGAATCACACCAGTGTTAGGGAAGAGAAATCAACTGGCTTCCCACTTAGGGATTAATAAAATGCACATTAGTGAGAGGAAGATGATCAGAGGTGACACTGACTCCCTGATGCAGCGCATCACTTCAGGGCTACAGTATACATAGATTTCTCCTTTCCCAGAACTGACAACTAGCTAGTTACACTTGTTTCCCTATAGCCTGAAGAAAGCTCAGAGGCAGAAATATAGCCTGTAATCTCCTTTCTGTCCCTGGGAGTGATTCCTCTGAGCATAAGGAGGGCAACTCCCATGTCACAAAGCACGGGAGAGAATGAAAGACTGTCCTGGGTTGGTGGGGAAAAGGAGACTGCCGATGGGTTGTGGTCATCCTTCCTAACTCAGCTACCTCTGGGATGTGGTCATACCTTTTTAGACTGGGGGCAGAGATTCCACACCTCCCCCCCCAACACCATCCAGTTTATCACCATACAAAGTCCTACTCCTCTGAGAGGCTAACAGGTCAGGCTGCCTACAACAACACTTCCCAATCCTGGAGCTGGGGCTGAGCACAACTGACAGACTGATAAGCAGGGCCAGGCCATGGAGGCAGAAAGATACCCAGAGATCGAGCCCTATGTGATATGATAGTACAGATGTTTCAGGGAACTAAGAAGGAAGAAGGCACTTCAGATTGAAGATAAATTTCCTTTGGTTCTTACTACCTCCCCAAGAAATGGAGTGGATTCACCCCTAGCTCTTTAGCTCCAACTAGTCCCCTTGCTTCCTGTCCAAGTTATGTTACCTGGGACTCTCTGATGGGGATGGGCAGGCTTCCCCAGAGAATGTCTTTGCCTGTTCCGTGAACTTGTACTTTGCAGTAAAGACTGGGTCTCTAGAATCTTCAGACCCAAACCAAAGGCCTGTCCCCTCTGCACTTGGATGTTGCACCCCACACCCTGCCCTGATATTTATCCCAGGAACCAAAATGTGCCGAGGTCTTTGTCATGAGTGGTCCAAAGAACCTTGAAAGAGTTCTCTCATTTTGGAGCCGACCCAGGGTCTCTTCTGGCAGTGTGCTTTGCCTACAAGGGCCTTTCAGCCCTTCCTCAGTTGTGGGCACCTGTGACAGTCTTCAGCCTCCTCCCAGCCTCCTGCTGGGGTGAGCAGGCTAAGCAGGCATGGTGGGTGGCAAGTGCCAGCTCTGCTGCAAGTATGCTCTGTGACATCAGACAAAATCCTCCACAAGTCATCATCCTTATCACTGACCTTTTTTTTTTTTAATTTTTATTTTACTCATATGTGCATACATTGTTTGGGTCATTTCTCCCCGCTTCCCCCCGCCCCTTCCCTTACCCCCCCTTACCTCTTGATACCTGGCAGAAACTATTCTACCCTTATCTCTAATTTTGTTGAAGAGAGAGTGTAAGCAATAATAGGAAGGACCAAGGGTTTTTCCTAGTTGAGATAAGGATAGCTATACAGGAAGTTGACTCGCATTGATTTCCTGTGCATGTGTGTTACCTTCTAAGTTAATTCTTCTTGAATTAACCTTTTTTCTAGTTCCTGGTCCCTTTTCCTATTGGCCTCAGTTGCTTTAAAGTATCTGCTTTAGTTTCTCTGCATTGAGGGCAACAATGCTACCTAGTTTTTGAGGTGTCTTACCTATCCTCATACCTCCCCTGTGTGCTCTCGCTTTATCATGTGACCAAAGTCCAATCCCCTTGTTGTGTTTGCCCTTGATCTAATGTCTGC